CTCCAGTGCGTCATCAAGTGGGGGCATGTCCAGGAGCTCAGGGGCTCTAGTGCGTCATCAATTAAGGGCGTGTCCAGGAGCTCAGTGGCTCCAGTGCGTCATCAAGTAAGGGCGTGTCCAGGAGCTCAGTGGCTTCAGTGCGTCATCAAGTAGGGTCGTGTCCAGGAGCTCAGGGGCACCAGTGCTTCATCAAGTAGGGGCGTGTCCAGGAGCTCAGGGGCTCCAGTGCGTCATCAAGTAGGGGGGTGTCCAGGAGCTCAGTGGCTCCAGTGCATCATCAATTAAGGGCGTGTCCAGAAGCTCAGGGGCTCCAGTGCTTCATCAAGTAGGGGCATGTCCAGGAGCTCAGGGTCTCCAGTGCCTCATCAAGTAGGGGCGTGTCCAGGAGCTCAGGGGCTCCAGTGTGTCAAGTAGGGGCGTGTCCAGGAGCTTAGGGGCTCCAGTGCGACATCAAGTAGGGGCGTGTCCAGGAGCTCAGTGGCTCCAGTGCGTCATCAATTAAGGGCGTGTTCAGGAGCTCAGGGGCTCCAGTGCGACATCAAGTAGGGGCATGTCCAGGAGCTCAGGGGCTCCAGTGCGACATCAAGTTGGGGCGTGTCCAGGAGCTCTGGGGCTCCAGTGCATCATCAAGTAGGGGCGTGTCCAGGAGCTCAGGGGCTCCAGTGCGTCATCAAGTAGGGTTGTGTCCAGGAGCTCAGGGGCTCCAGTGCGTCATCAATTAAGGGCGTGTCCAGGAGCTCAGGGGCTCCAGTGCGACATCAAGTTGGGGCGTGTCCAGGAGCTCTGGGGCTCCAGTGCGTCATCAAGTAGGGGCGTGTCCAGGAGCTCAGGGGCTCCAGTGCGTCATCAAGTAAGGGCGTGTCCAGGAGCTCTGGGGCTCCAGTGCGTCATCAAGTAAGGGCGTGTCCAGGAGCTCAGGGGCTCCAGTGCGTCATCAAGTAAGGGCTTGTCGAGGAGCTCAGGGGCTCCAGTGCGTCATCAAGTAGGGGCATGTCCAGGAGCTCAGGGGCTCTAGTGCGTCATCAATTAAGGGCGTGTCCAGGAGCTCAGTGGCTCCAGTGCGTCATTAAGTAAGGGCGTGTCCAGGAGCTCAGTGGCTTCAGTGCGTCATCAAGTAGGGTCGTGTCCAGGAGCTCAGTGGCTTCAGTGCGTCATCAAGTAGGGGCATGTCCAGGAGCTCAGGGGCACCAGTGCGTCATCAAGTAGGGGGGTGTCCAGGAGCTCAGTGGCTCCAGTGCATCATCAAGTAAGGGCGTGTCCAGGAGCTCAGGGACTCCAGTGCTTCATCAAGTAGGGACATGTCCAGGAGCTCAGGGGCTCCAGTGCGTCATCTATTAAGGGCGTGTACAGGAGCTCAGGGGCTTCAGTGCGACATCAAATTGGGGTGTGTCCAGGAGCTCTGGGGCTCCAGTGCGTCATCAATTAAGGGCGTGTCCAGGAGCTCAGGGGCTCCAGTGCGTCATCAAGTAGGGGCGTGTCCAGGAGCTCAGGGGCTCCAGTGCGTCATCAAGTAGGGGCGTGTCCAGGAGCTCAGGGGGCTCCAGTGCGACATCAAGTAGGGGCGTGTCCAAAAGCTCAGGGGCTCCAGTTTGTCATCAAGTAGGGGCGTGGCCAGGAGCTCAGGGGCTCCAGTGCGTCATCAAGTAGGGGCGTGTCCAGGAGCTCAGGGGCTCCAGTGCGTCATCAAGTAGGGGCGTAGCCAGGAGCTCAGGGACTCCAGTGCGTCATCAAATAGGGATGTGTCCAGGAGCTCAGGGGCTCCAGTGCGTCATCAAGTAAGGGCGTGTCCAGGAGCTCAGTAGCTTCAGTGCGACATCTAGTAGGGGCTTGTCCAGGAGCTCAGGGGCTCCAGTGCGTCATCAAGTAGGGGCGTGTCCAGGAGCTCAGGGGCTCCAGTGCGACAACAAGTAGGGGCGTGTCCAGGAGCTCAGGGGCTCCAGTGAGTCATCAAGTAGGGGCGTGTCCAGGAGCTCAGGGGCTCCAGTGCGTCATCGAGTAGGGGCGGAGCCAGGAGCTCAGGGGCTCCAGTGCGTCATCAAGTAGGGGCGTGTCCAGGAGCTCAGGGGCTCCAGTGCGTCATCAAGTAGGGGCGTGTCCAGGAGCTCAGGGGCTCCAGTGCGTCATCAAGTAGGGACGTGGCCAGGAGCTCAGGGACTCCAGTGCGTCATCGAGTAGGGGCGGAGCCAGGAGCTCAGGGGCTCCAGTGCATCATCAAGTAGGGGCGTGTCCAGGAGCTCAGGGGCTCCAGTGCGACATCAAGTAGGGGCGTGTCCAGGAGCTCAGTGGCTCCAGTGCGACATCAAGTAGGGGCGTGTCCAGGAGCTCAGGGGCTCCAGTGCGACATCAAGTAGGGGCGTGTCCAGGAGCTCAGGGGCTCCAGTGCGACATCAAGTAGGGGCGTGTCCAGGAGCTCAGGGGCTCCAGTGCGACATCAAGTAGGGGCGTGTCCAAGAGCTCAGGGGCTCCAGTGCCTCATCAAGTAGGGGCGTGGCCAGGAGCTCAGGGGCTCCAGTGCGTCATCAAGTAGGGGCGTGTCCAGGAGCTCAGGGGCTCCAGTGCGTCATCAAGTAGGGGCGTGTCCAGGAGCTCAGGGGCTCCAGTGCGTCATCAAGTAGGGACGTGGCCAGGAGCTCAGGGACTCCAGTGCGTCATCAAGTAGGGGTGTGTCCAGGAGCTCAGGGGCTCCAGTGCGACATCAAGTAGGGGCGTGTCCAGGAGCTCAGTGGCTCCAGTGCGACATCAAGTAGGGGCGTGTCCAGGAGCTCAGGGGCTCCAGTGCGACATCAAGTAGGGGCGTGTCCAGGAGCTCAGGGGCTCCAGTGCGACATCAAGTAGGGGCGTGTCCAGGAGCTCAGGGGCTCCAGTGCGACATCAAGTAGGGGCGTGTCCAGGAGCTCAGTGGCTCCAGTGCGACATCAAGTAGGGGCGTGTCCAGGAGCTCAGGGGCTCCAGTGCGTCATCAAGTAGGGGCGTGTCCAGGAGCTCAGGGGCTCAAGTGCGTCATCAAGTAGGGGCGTGTCCAGGAGCTCAGGGGCTCCAGTGCGTCATCAAGTAGGGACGTGGCCAGGAGCTCAGGGACTCCAGTGCGTCATCAAGTAGGGGTGTGTCCAGGAGCTCAGGGGCTCCAGTGCGACATCAAGCAGGGGCGTGTCCAGGAGCTCAGTGGCTCCAGTGCGACATCAAGTAGGGGCGTGTCCAGGAGCTCAGGGGCTCCAGTGCGACATCAAGTAGGGGCGTGTCCAGGAGCTCAGGGGCTCCTATGCGACATCAAGTAGGGGCGTGTCCAGGAGCTCAGGGGCTCCAGTGCGACATCAAGTAGGGGCGTGTCCAAGAGCTCAGGGGCTCCAGTGCCTCATCAAGTAGGGGCGTGTCCAGGAGCTCAGGGGCTCCAATGCGACATCAAGTAGGGGCGTGTCCAGGAGCTCAGGGGCTCCAGTGCGACATCAAGTAGGGGCGTGTCCAGGAGCTCAGTGGCTCCAGTGCGACATCAAGTTGGGGCGTGTCCAGGAGCTCAGGGGCTCCAGTGCGACATCAAGTAGGGGCGTGTCCAGGAGCTCAGGGGCTCCAGTGCGTCATCAAGTAGGGGCGTGTCCAGGAGCTCAGGGGCTCCAGTGCGACATCAAGTAGGGGCGTGTCCAGGAGCTAAGGGGCTCCAGTGCGTCATCGAGCCCCGTTTTAGCCCCGCCCAAAAAATCCGGAACACAGAGAACTGTTTAACGGTCTAACTCCACAATTCAGTACTTCACAGTTCACAGTCTTTGTAATATGTTTTAGGAATACATTTCTAACATAAATAATGTGCTTAGAATTTTTTTGTAGAATTGCCTTTACAGGGACTTTAAGTACACTTTTTGAGTATCTGTACTTTACGAGGAAACTTTTTACTTTAACTTCACTACATTTGAAAGACAAATATCATATTTTTTACTACACTACATTTCTGTCAAGGTCCTTGAGTAAAAGGTAGTAACGTCAGTCAGTGGATGATTTTGGTTGCAGGGGTTGCATTTTGGTTGCAAATAAAAGTTGGATTTTTATTTTATTTTAGATTTTCATTTTCAACCACAATACAACGTCTGTCCAACGTTGGATTAACGTCAACCCGACGTTGGATTCTGACATCAACCTGATTTTCATTTTCAACGTTGTGTTTGGTCTTCTAAATGCGAATTTTGTCATTGTTTTGGAGCACACTAGCTTATAGATAACAGTAAGCCTAACATATTCATACTAAAAGCCAAAATGTTTTAAATAGGGCACTATTTGAGGGAACAGCCATTTGTGTGTCAATTGAAACCATTGTGGACGTTATTGACTGCACTTATTCAGTCTCACATTCAGTCCCACTACTGGAACTGTGTTCTAGAAATACATGTGATATTGACATGAGGGCAGGCATAGATTCAGAGGCATACGGTACTGTAACTATTACATACAACAATGCAACAATAATAAAACAATGCATTGACATTTACTTTTGATACTTAAGTACTTAAGTAAAAATAGGTCTTTTCAACTTTTACTTGTAACAGAGTAATATTTGACCAGTAGTATCTGTACTATCACACAAGTAGGGAAGTTGTGTACTTTGTCCACCTCTGGTCTCGGGTCACGACTGTAACCCTTGTTCCCTGAGAACAGGGATTGAGACACTGCGTCTTGTCGCCATGCCCCCGGGCTGCCTGCACAGTCCCTTCAGACGAAGAAGTGGATGACATGTTCTCTAGGCGCCCTCTTATACTTCCTGGTCGCACTAGTGTCATGGCTATCGCCGGCCAAAACGATTGCCATGATTATACAGTACTTCAGTCATCAGTCATGCTGAGGCGTTCCCCAATGTGTCTCAGGACGCAGTGTCAGGGAACAAGGGTTACAGTGTTAACACGAGACGTTTTTTTAACCTGTTTGGGAAACCCCTTCAGTAAAAGAATCAGTGAATTCATGAATTATGTTTTGATAACGGCATGACATAATCCCTAAAATCTCTTTTAATTTCATAGGTGACAAATGGGAGGTAAGCATATAATTATAATTCTATTACTATTAACTGTTACTATTTTCTGATACAAAATTCAATGAGCTACATTATCCACTTTATTTTTATTGTAAGAGTGGGCGCAGCCATTTGTGACTTGAATGTGTTAGTTATTTTCGCTGTACAACAGAGCTTGTTATGCTGCTTGATTATACTAAATAGTTTTTTCTTACCATATTACTTTGATGTATTGTCTCTATTATAAAACACACTGGTTTGTAGTGCTGATAGTTTGACCTGTTATTGCAATTTGCTATTCTTCTAGTTATTTCCCTATAGCAGCTAATAAATCTGGAGTCTCGCACATTCACAGAGAATAGTTTACTTCCTCAATGAAAAATAAGTCAAGTCAAGTCAAATATATTTATATAGAGCTTTTCACAATACAGATTGTATCAAAGCTGCTTCACAGTATCAATCAAAACAACTTAACAGTGTTTGTTTATTACTGGAAAAGACATCCAAGTTTGGTAGAGCTGATCAGTGGTATGATGGGTCATTTAATTTGAATATCCCCAACTGAGCAAGCCAAAGGCAACAGTGGCAAGGAACCGAAAAACTCCATCAAGAGACCCGATGGTGTCCTAAAACTCCATCAGATGACCCGATGGAGAAAAAAAAACCTTGGGAGAACCCAGGCTCAGTCGGGGCCAGTTCTCCTCTGGCGTTTATGAAGTAGAGGCCGAATTTACAGTAACTGTAAGATTAAACATTTTTATATGAATGCCTGGCTAAATAGATGCGTCTTTAGGCCAGGTTTAAACTGGGAGAACGAGTCTGAGCAACGAACAATATCAGGAAGGCTATTCCAGAGCTTCGGAGCTAAATGTGAAAATGCTCTCCCTCCTTTGGTGGATCTGGATATCCTAGGAATGACCAGAAGCCTCGAATTTAGTGATCTTAAAGAGCGCGATGGATTATAGGGCGATAGAAGATCCGTTAAATAGACAGGAGCTAAACCATTTAGAGCTTTATAAGTCAAAAGCAAGACCTTGTAATTAATACGGAACTTTATAGGTAACCAATGAAGTGATGATAGAATCGGTGTTATATGATCATATTTTCTTGATCTAGTAAGAACTCTAGCGGCTGCATTTTGCACTAACTGTAGCTTGTTTATTGAAGATACAGGACAACCGGCTAATAAAGCATTACAGTAATCTAGTCTCAAGGTCATGAATGCATGAACTAACTTTTCTGCATCAGAGACTGATAGCATATTACGTAGCTTAGCAATGTTTCTAAGGTGGAAAAAGGCTGTTTTTGTAACATATGAAATATGCTTTTCAAAAGACAGGTTGCAGTCTAATGTAACACCCAGGTCTTTTACTGTAGCGGATAAAGTAACAGGGCATCCTAATATGTTAAAGTCGTGCTGTGGAAGGTTTTGTGGATGGTTTTTAGAACCGATAAGTATTACCTCTGTCTTGTCTGGATTTAATAAAAGAAAATTACGCGTCATCCAATCTTTTATATCTTTAACACATTCTGTCAATTTGGATAATTTAGCGTATTCATCTGGCCGTGATGAAATATATATTTGAGTGTCATCAGCATAACAATGGAAACTAATTCCATGTTTCCTTAGAATATTACCAAGTGGCAGCATATATACTGAGAATAATAAAGGGCCTAACACAGATCCCTGCGGCACTCCATAGCTTGCCGAAGTTATGATCGATTTTTCTCCATTTAAAAAATAAGGTGGATACAGTAGATACAAATATATACCAATAGACACTGATTGTTTTCATTTGGTTCTTGCCTCTTTTAAAAAAAAGTAAATATAAACGTGTAATTTGAAAACCTGCAACCTTGTTTAGTAGACGAATGTGCTCAGGTTATTTACACTGATGTTTATGTTCATCTCCTGAAGCATGAGGATGCGTCTCTTCACATGTTTCACTGCATGAGAAAGAAGAATGGACTGGGCAAAGAGATGGAACAATATGGACTGAATCTAGATGAAGACATTCCCTTCATTGAGGAATTAATTAAGGGATGCAAAACAGATAAACAGGTCAAATGTGTTTAATGTGGATGTGCAGCCAGTTTTAATCATGATACAGTGTTTAAGTTGATCATGGTATTTTCCTTGCAGTGGTCAATGAAGGGCAGAACTGAAGACAAGTCTTTCCTGTATGAGATTGTTGCAAACAAACTGAATGGCATTGATGTAGATAAATGGGACTATTTTGCACGGTAAGTAGTATTTTAGTAGTAGTAGTGTTTCTTTTTTATTATTCAATGTGGCAGTCATTGACAGTCCCTTTAGTCAAAATGTTGTTTCATTTGGCACAGTTATTGGGAAGTATCCTGTGACCAATTTTGGGTTCTGCCTCTGAAATAAAAATAAGTATAAACAAAATAAACAATAAATATGGCCCATGTATTGCTCTGTCGCCTGTTGCATTAGTGTAATTCCTCTTATTCAACAGAGACTGTCATTATCTTGGAATCCCAAACGGATTTGACCATCAACGTCTGCTGAAATCTGCTCGTGTCTGTAAGGTGGATGGGAGGAATCACATCTGCTTCAGGGACAAGGTGAACCACATGTTATTACACCCGTCACTGGTTTTAGTTCTGGTGATGTAGTGAACACTCTACATATACTCTTCACCAAGGTGAATAATGCTACCCCTGCGTAAACTTGGCAACACATTAGTGGCGTTTTTATAGATATACATACTGTATATGTTAATGAACTCATGAAACATGCCAGTAGAAAAAAGGCTGATCCGTTCACAGCAGTTTATTCAATTCAAAAATCACAGAGAAACAATAATCATAAATAAAAAAACACAGACCATCCATTCCGGCAGACAATGCAAAAGACACAAAATAATGACCACAATAAGTATAGAGATATTCTAACAAGTTTTGGCAAATCTGAACTAAATTAACTGGACAATTTATACACCAATGAGGCAAAGTAGGAAAACGTATTTTGGACTCATTTTAAAGGGGTCATTTGATGGTTTTAAAAATAACATTATTTTGTGTATTTGGTTTAATGCAATGTGTTTTCGCGGTTTTAGGTTAAAAAAAGTCATTATTTTACACACACTGTTATTATTGTTTCTTCTCAATGCCCCGCCTTTCTGAAATGCGTCGATTTTTTACAAAGCTCATCGTTTTGAAAAGCCCGGTGTGCTCTGATTGGCCGACACTCCAGTGCATTGTGATTGGCCCGAATACCTTAAGCTTGTACTCTCCCAGACTCTGGAACAGTCGAAAATTTGATCTGTACTGTTCTGGAGCAGTGTTGTAAATAAAGCTTAAACTGTTTTACGTAATGGATCTTTTTTTTTTTGTAAAACAACACTTTGCCTCTTTTTGTATACATTTGCTGTATTGCTATTGTTTTTTATATGTTTATGAATGCAACATTCTGTGGTTAGCATTCTATGAGATTCTTTGGCTCAGTTCAGACTGTTGTCTGTTACTCTGTGTTTCTCTCTCAGGTAGCAGATAATATTTATGGCATGTTTCATACTCGGTACACACTTCATCGTCAGGCCCTTCAGCACAAGATCGGCTACATCATTGACGTCAAGTGGGTTTTGTATGAAAGACACTCAGGTTTTATTTACTGAGTTCATTTGTCTGCATGCATCATGATCTTTCTGTTACTGACAGATGTATGCATGTTTCTCTTTGTACATTAGGATTAAGGATGCTCTCGTTCTAGCTGATGACAAGCTCATGCCGGGTCGCAAAATCTCAGATGCCATATATGACATGCCAGAGTACACCAAACTCACAGGTCAGCTAAAACATGGGTAGAAATCAAGAGAAATGTTTCTCTTAAATAGAAGCATTTCACCAAGAAAATACCTTGCAAATAAACATGCAAATCTGGGTAATATATCCAAATATGAAGAGAGCCTTTTAGTGTTGATGGTTTGCTTCTGTTCTAAGAAAAACTCTTCACTTTCCAGCAGGAGTAACAGAGCAGATCCAGCAGACTATGAACTACATATCAAATGAACATTGAAATAGTTAATTTCACAAAATCAAATCAAGACGCTGTAACACACAAACTTACAAGACTTGCTTAACCAGTTAATACTTACTTAAGACAAGAGTAATGGTGTAAACGGTGTAGGGTGTTAAAGCAGTTTGATATCAATGTACTGGAAGGACAGATGAATGGAGGATTTAACCAGTCTGAACTGTACTCATTGACAGCACGGATCAGCTTGATTCACATGACCTGACTGAATTAATACACTCCCAGAGAAAAAATTGTACAAAAGTTGTGGTATCCTTTTAAAGGTACTAATCTTAGGCTCTTTGTATGCTAAAAAACTAAAAATTCTATGGACCATTTCCATCTCCAATGTCTTTCAACAGATCACATCTTTGATCAGATCCTGCACCAGTCAGACTCAAAGCCTGATCTGACTGAAGCCAGAGGTATTCTAAATGATATCCTCAAGAGACGTCTGCCAAAGTTTGTTGGAGAGGCCCGACTCAAAGAAGAAGATTTAAAGGTAGCTTACTGTCTGTTAAACTGTCCAATATAACAGATTTACTTTGTGTAAAAGTTAACACATACAAAATGAGCCGAAATATTATGACCACCTGGCACGCGTGCTGCCAAAACAGTGGCGATCCGCCGAGGCCTGGACTCTACGAGACCTCTGAAGGTGTCCTCTGGTTTCTGGCACTAAGACGTTAGCAGCAGATCCTTCAATCCTGTAGTTTGTGAAGTGGAGCCACTGTGGATTGAATTTGTTGGTCCAGCACATCCCACAGATGCTCGACTGGATTGAGATCTGGAGTATTTGGAGGCTAGGACACTTGAACACCTTGAACTCTTCATCATGTTCTGTCCTCACTAGACGTGTCACTTCTCTATCCAGCTAGACAGACGAGACGTTGGTTCATGACTTTTTAATCTTCCAATAGTTTTCATGAATCTTTTCTCACTTAACTTTAACATTGTAAAACTGTAAACAGAGATAGAACATACAGAAATTAGAATTGTACATATTCAAAGTGCATATCTGACTGAAAAGTATTTACTGCCCAAATAAAGCATTCAAATAAAACACGAAATCAACATATTAAGCCATAAACATTACATTGTCATGTGCTTTTGTTAATTATATTCCTTGTTTTAAGTAATGGCTTGTAATCACGGAATCCAAATTAGCCTAACAATCATAACAAAAGATCGCTAGTATACGGCACTAACTATGCTCACGGATTGCACAGTCACTTTACGTTTCGTTTTAAGCAACATTTGCCTCTCTAGCCTCTAGATTAATGAATTTACTGACAAACATCTTAAACCTACTCAACATTATATTTATATTACAAATAATAGCGACTTACAGCCTTATGCGGGCCACGACTTCACCGAACGAGCCGCTCTTCAGCCATGACACATTACAAAGAACTCAACTCAACGCAAATCATACGGAAGCTATCATACATAATCCTCGCCACAAGAGGGTGCTTAAAGGTCGACATATAACCAAATCAACCTGTCTTTATAATTAAACTAAACCATTACAATCATGTTCCTCAAAGCTTCCTGAACAATGTGTGCAGTGTTGCAGGGTGCATTACCCTGCTGAAAGAGGCATGGGTCCATGTCAAAGTAATTCAGATCTTTAATCCCGCCCATTTCTCCTAGCATCTAACACGATAGGTGTGTTGGACATCGGCTGAATGTAACCGATCGGCAAGAGTTGCGTGTGCAGGCGAGGAGGAGCTGAAAACTGAGACGTGAAGTCGAACACTTTCTGCTTCCCGTAGTGACGCTCTATTCTATATCTATTAAAAAATAGAAAAATTAAATATGTGTACTGCGTTAGACTAAACTGGGAAGGGTCACATCTCTTCCATATTGTTGCCCTATTGTTAGTTTAATTGCTTCTATTGTTCTCCTCATTTGTAAGTCGCCTTGGATAAAAGCGTCTGCTAAACGATTGAATGTAAATGTTTTAACACTGTGATATGTGCTGAGTCTGGACTATAGTTTAGATGTATCTGAAACTAACACCCATTATAATTAACTAGCTATTTTTCTAAATCTTTTAGGAAAAAGTGAAGGCCAGATTGAAAGAACAGCCTGATAAAGTCTCCAGGAGTAAAGTCTATCAGGTATTTATTCTCACTCATTCATTTTCTCAAACATTTATAGTTCAGAATTATCGTAATTATTGCTATTTATTGTTATTATAAAAATAAATGGCCTTTGTACTAATTTGCATGTCAGAGATGTTCTTACAACCCCAAATCAAGAAAAGTTGGGACATTTTGTAAAATGCAATAAAATCAAGAATCTGTAATTTGTTCATTCTTTTGAACCTTTATTTAACAGACTAGTGAACAAAGAAAACATTTCTAATATTTTCACTGACGACTTAACAATATTTTTTAAATATAAACAAATTTAGATTTTTATGACTGCAACATACTCCAAAAAAGTTGTGACAAAGCCATGTTTACCGTGACAGTGAATGAATGAATGAATGAGGCATTTATATAGCGCTTTCATATGTACTACTGTACACCCAAAGCGCTTTACAATCATATCAGGGGTTCTCTCCTCAACCAGCACTTCGACAGTGGTCGAAATAAAAATTGATTTTCACTGGATGAGCAGCTACACAGTCACCGGCAGTTAAATAAAGCAACATGCATAACATTCTCAATATTTCTTGGTCTTCTCCTGGACTGAAGCACAGGCTCTACTCTTCAGCACAATGGTGACCCACAAAACTCAATTTTACAGTAAACTAAGTAACTGTTTTTTAACTTACAGTTTATTACTGTCAAAATACATTTCGTGGGTGTTTTATCTTATACCGTTAACCCTTTCAATCCCACAGGAAAATCCTGTAGTGTCCACACTATAAAGAGTAAAAGTGACATTGATGCAGTGTTGCAGTGAGATAATTAAGTGAATATGTAAGTGATTGTTTAGCATTAATGATGAACACCTGCTGTTAACAAGCAGAATCACTGAAGGAAAGAAGAACAACAAGCCCAGTCAACCCGTGAGATCATGTGATGATCACAGTGACATCACACCATTCTCATACGATGATACTATGATGTAACCGGATGATGTATCGGATGTAACCGATCGGTGAGAGTTGCGTGTGCAGCCGGGATCGAGGAGCTGAAAACGGATGTGAAGTCGAATACTTTCTGCTTCCCGTAGCGACGCTCGCACTGCGTTTGCATACGTTACCACAGCTGAAGTGACACAAATGCAATATTTGTCAAATACTAAGACTTTTCAGAAACATTTTCATTCAATACTTTGTACTGATTAAAACAGCGTCTGTTTGTACAAGAAAAAAGTTCAACATAAGCCTACAGCTACTATCAATGAAGTGGAGTCTGTTTTTTTAAAATAATTTTTATTTAGATAAACATGACACAATATAACATCGCGACAACATGAAAAGAGCGTTTACTGTTATAAAAACAGATTTGTAAGCATTAGTGGAACTACAGGTGTGAGAATAAACATGAAATACACATGGTTTTTGTCATGCGGTGGATTCGGCCAATCGTGGAACAGCTGTGTCGTCATCAGCGCTCCTGGATTCGGCCAATCATGGAACAGCTGTGTCGTCATCAGAGCTCGTGGATTCAGCCAATCGTGGAACAGCTGTGTCGGCATCAGAGCTCGTGGATTCGGCTAATCATGGAACAGCTGTGTCGGCATCAGAGCTCGTGGATTCGGCCAATCGTGGAACAGCTGTGTCGTCATCAGAGCTCGTGGATTCAGCCAATCGTGGAACAGCTGTGTCGGCATCAGAGCTCGTGGATTCGGCTAATCATGGAACAGCTGTGTCGTCATCAGAGCTCGTGGATTCGGCCAATCGTGGAACAGCTGTGTCGTCATCAGAGCTCGTGGATTCAGCCAATCGTGGAACAGCTGTGTCGTCATCAGCGCTCCTGGATTCGGCCAATCATGAAACAGCTGTGTCGTCATCAGAGCTTGTGGATTCAGCCAATCGTGGAACAGCTGTGTCGTCATCAGCGCTCATGGATTCGGCCAATCGTGGAACAGCTGTGTCGTCATCAGAGCTCGTGGATTCGGCCAATCGTGGAACAGCTGTGTCGTCATCAGAGCTCGTGGATTCAGCCAATCGTGGAACAGCTGTGTCGTCATCAGCGCTCCTGGATTCGGCCAATCATGAAACAGCTGTGTCGTCATCAGAGCTTGTGGATTCAGCCAATCGTGGAACAGCTGTGTCGGCATCAGCGCTCATGGATTCGGCCAATCGTGGAACAGCTGTGTCGTCATCAGAGCTCGTGGATTCAGCCAATCGTGGAACAGCTGTGTCGGCATCAGAGCTTGTGGATTCGGCTAATCATGGAACAGCTGTGTCGGCATCAGAGCTCGTGGATTCGGCTAATCATGGAACAGCTGTGTCGTCATCAGCGCTCATGGATTCGGCCAATCGTGGAACAGCTGTGTCGTCATCAGAGCTCGTGGATTCAGCCAATCGTGGAACAGCTGTGTCGGCATCAGAGCTTGTGGATTCGGCTAATCATGGAACAGCTGTGTCGGCATCAGAGCTCGTGGATTCGGCTAATCATGGAACAGCTGTGTCGTCATCAGCGCTCATGGATTCGGCCAATCGTGGAACAGCTGTGTCGTCATCAGAGCTCGTGGATTCGGCCAATCGTGGAACAGCTGTGTCGTCATCAGAGCTCGTGGATTCAGCCAATCGTGGAACAGCTGTGTCGTCATCAGCGCTCCTGGATTCGGCCAATCATGAAACAGCTGTGTCGTCATCAGAGCTTGTGGATTCAGCCAATCGTGGAACAGCTGTGTCGGCATCAGAGCTCGTGGATTCGGCCAATCGTGGAACAGCTGTGTCGGCATCAGAGCTCCTGGATTCGGCCAATCGTGGAACAGCTGTGTCGTCATCAGAGCTTGTGGATTCAGCCAATCGTGGAACAGCTGTGTCGGCATCAGAGCTCGTGGATTCGGCCAATCGTGGAACAGCTGTGTCGTCATCAGAGCTCGTGGATTCGGCCAATCGTGGAACAGCTGTGTCGTCATCAGAGCTCGTGGATTCGGCTAATCATGGAACAGCTGTGTCGTCATCAGAGCTCGTGGATTCGGCCAATCGTGGAACAGCTGTGTCGTCATCAGAGCTCGTGGATTCGGCTAATCATGGAACAGATGTGTCGTCATCAGAGCTCGTGGATTCAGCCAATCATAGAACAGCTGTGCCGTCATCAGAGCTCGTGGATTCGGCTAATCATGGAACAGATGTGCCGTCATCAGAGCTCGTGGATTCGGCTAATCATGGAACAGCTGTGTCGTCATCAGAGCTCGTGGATTCAGCCAATCATGGAACAGCTGTGCCGTCATCAGAGCTCGTGGATTCAGCCAATCATGGAACAGCTGTGCCGTCATCAGAGCTCGTGGATTCGGCCAATCGTGGAACAGCTGTGTCGTCATCAGCGCTCCTGGATTCGGCCAATCATGAAACAGCTGTGTCGTCATCAGAGCTCGTGGATTCAGCCAATCGTGGAACAGCTGTGCCGTCATCAGAGCTCGTGGATTCGGCTAATCATGGAACAGCTGTGTCGTCATCAGAGCTCGTGGATTCGGCTAATCATGGAACAGCTGTGTCGTCATCAGAGCTCGTGGATTCAGCCAATCGTGGAACAGCTGTGTCGTCATCAGAGCTCGTGGATTCAGCCAATCATGGAACAGCTGTGTCGTCATCAGCGCTCCTGGATTCGGCCAATCATGAAACAGCTGTGTCGTCATCAGAGCTCGTGGATTCAGCCAATCATGGAACAGCTGTGCCGTCATCAGAGCTCGTGGATTCGGCCAATCGTGGAACAGCTGTGTCGTCATCAGCGCTCCTGGATTCGGCCAATCATGAAACAGCTGTGTCGTCATCAGAGCTCGTGGATTCAGCCAATCATGGAACAGCTGTGTCGTCATCAGAGCTCGTGGATTCGGCTAATCATGGAACAGATGTGTCGTCATCAGAGCTCGTGGATTCGGCCAATCGTGGAACAGCTGTGTCGTCATCAGAGCTCGTGGATTCAGCCAATCATGGAACAGCTGTGTCGTCATCAGAGCTCGTGGATTCGGCTAATCATGGAACAGATGTGTCGTCATCAGAGCTCGTGGATTCAGCCAATCATGGAACAGCTGTGCCGTCATCAGAGCTCGTGGATTCGGCCAATCGTGGAACAGCTGTGTCGTCATCAGCGCTCCTGGATTCGGCCAATCATGAAACAGCTGTGTCGTCATCAGAGCTCGTGGATTCAGCCAATCATGGAACAGCTGTGCCGTCATCAGAGCTCGTGGATTCGGCCAATCGTGGAACAGCTGTGTCGGCATCAGAGCTCGTGGATTCAGCCAATCGTGGAACAGCTGTGTCGTCATCAGCGCTCCTGGATTCGGCCAATCATGGAACAGCTGTGTCGTCATCAGAGCTCGTGGATTCAGCCAATCGTGGAACAGCTGTGTCGGCATCAGAGCTCGTGGATTCGGCCAATCGTGGAACAGCTGTGTCTTCATCAGAGCTCGTGGATTCGGCTAATCATGGAACAGCTGTGTCGGCATCAGAGCTCGTGGATTCGGCCAATCGTGGAACAGCTGTGTCATCATCAGAGCTCGTGGATTCGGCTAATCATGGAACAGCTGTGTCGGCATCAGAGCTCGTGGATTCGGCCAATCGTGGAACAGCTGTGTCGTCATCAGAGCTCGTGGATTCGGCTAATCATGGAACAGCTGTGTCTTCATCAGAGGTCGTGGATTCGGCCAATCGTGGAACAGCTGTGTCGTCATCAGAGCTCGTGGATTCGGCCAATCGTGGAACAGCTGTGTCGTCACCAGAGCCCGGGATTCGGCTAATCATGGAACAGCTGTGTCGGCATCAGAGCTCGTGGATTCAGCCAATCGTGGAACAGCTGTGTCGTCATCAGAGCTCGTGGATTCGGCCAATCGTGGAACAGCTGTGTCGTCATCAGAGCTCGTGGATTCGGCTAATCATGGAACAGCTGTGTCGGCATCACAGCTCGTGGATTCGGCTAATCATGGAACAGCTGTGTCGTCATCAGAGCTCGTGGATTCGGCTAATCATGGAACAGCTGTGTCGGCATCAGAGCTCGTGGATTCGGCCAATCGTGGAACAGCTGTGTCGTCATCAGCGCTCCTGGATTCGGCCAATCATGGAACAGCTGTGTCGTCATCAGAGCTCGTGGATTCGGCCAATCGTGGAACAGCTGTGTCGTCATCAGAGCTCGTGGATTCGGCCAATCATGGAACAGCTGTGTCGTCATCAGAGCTCGTGGATTCGGCCAATCATGGAACAGCTGTGTCGTCATCAGAGCTCGTGGATTCGGCTAATCATGGAACAGCTGTGTCGTCATCAGAGCTCGTGGATTCGGCCAATCGTGGAACAGTTGTGTCGTCTTCAGAGCTCGTGGATTCGGCCAATCGTGGAACAGCTGTGTCGTCATCAGAGCTCGTGGATTCGGCTAATCATGGAACAGCTGTGTCGTCATCAGAGCTTGTGGATTCGGCTAATCATGGAACAGCTGTGTCGGCATCAGAGCTCGTGGATTCGGCCAATCGTGGAACAGCTGTGTCGTCATCAGAGCTCGTGGATTCGGCTAATCATGGAACAGCTGTGTCGTCATCAGAGCTCGTGGATTCGGCCAATCATGGAACAGCTGTGTCGTCATCAGAGCTCGTGGATTCAGCCAATCATGGAACAGCTGTGCCGTCATCAGAGCTCGTGGATTCGGCTAATCATGGAACAGCTGTGTCGTCATCAGAGCTCGTGGATTCGGCCAATCGTGGAACAGCTGTGTCGTCATCAGAGCTCGTGGATTCGGCCAATCGTGGAACAGCTGTGTCGTCATCAGAGCTCGTGGATTCAGCCAATCGTGGAACAGCTGTGTCGTCATCAGAGCTCGTGGATTCGGCCAATCGTGGAACAGCTGTGTCGGCATCAGAGCTCGTGGATTCGGCCAATCGTGGAACAGCTGTGTCGTCATCAGAGCTCGTGGATTCAGCCAATCGTGGAACAGCTGTGTCGTCATCAGAGCTCGTGGATTCGGCTAATCATGGAACAGCTGTGTCGTCATCAGAGCTCGTGGATTCGGCCAATCATGGAACAGCTGTGTCGTCATCAGAGCTCGTGGATTCAGCCAATCATGGAACAGCTGTGCCGTCATCAGAGCTCGTGGATTCGGCTAATCGTGGAACAGTTGTGTCGTCATCAGCGCTCCTGGATTCGGCTAATCATGGAACAGCTGTGCCGTCATCAGAGCTCGTGGATTCGGCTAATCGTGGAACAGTTGTGTCGTCATCAGAGCTCGTGGATTCGGCCAATCGTGGAACAGCTGTGTCGTCATCAGAGCTCGTGGATTCAGCCAATCGTGGAACAGTTGTGTCGTCATCAGCGCTCCTGGATTCGGCTAATCATGGAACAGCTGTGTCGTCATCAGCGCTCCTGGATTCGGCTAATCATGGAACAGCTGTGTCGTCATCAGAGCTCGTGGATTCAGCCAATCATGGAACAGCTGTGCCGTCATCAGAGCTCGTGGATTCAGCCAATCGTGGAACAGCTGTGTCGTCATCAGAGCTCGTGGATTCGGCCAATCGTGGAACAGCTGTGTCGTCATCAGAGCTCGTGGATTCGGCCAATCGTGGAACAGCTGTGTCGTCATCAGAGCTCGTGGATTCGGCCAATCGTGGAACAGCTGTGTCGGCATCAGAGCTCGTGGATTCGGCCAATCGTGGAACAGCTGTGTCGTCATCAGAGCTCGTGGATTCAGCCAATCGTGGAACAGCTGTGTCGTCATCAGAGCTCGTGGATTCAGCCAATCGTGGAACAGCTGTGTCGTCATCAGAGCTCGTGGATTCAGCCAATCGTGGAACAGCTGTGTCGTCATCAGAGCTCGTGGATTCGGCTAATCGTGGAACAGCTGTGTCGTCATCAGAGCTCGTGGATTCAGCCTATCATGGAACAGATGTGTCGTCATCAGAGCTCGTGGATACAGCCAATCATGGAACAGCTGTGTCGTCATCAGAGCTCGTGGATTCGGCCAATCATGGAACAGCTGTGTCGTCATCAGAGCTCGTGGATTCGGCTAATCATGGAACAGCTGTGTCGTCATCAGAGCTTGTGGATTCAGCCAATCGTGGAACAGCTGTGTCGTCATCAGAGCTCGTGGATTCAGCCAATCGTGGAACAGCTGTGTCGTCATCAGAGCTCGTGGATTCAGCCAATCATGGAACAGCTGTGTCGTCATCAGAGCTCGTGGATTCAGCCAATCATGGAACAGCTGTGTCGTCATCAGAGCTCGTGGATTCGGCCAATCGTGGAACAGTTGTGTCGTCATCAGAGCTCGTGGATTCGGCTAATCATGGAACAGCTGTGTCGGCATCAGAGCTCGTGGATTCGGCCAATCGTGGAACATCTGTGTCGTCATCAGAGCTCGTGGATTCGGCTAATCATGGAACAGCTGTGTCGTCATCAGCGCTCCTGGATTCGGCCAATCGTGGAACAGCTGTGTCGTCATCAGCGCTCCTGGATTCGGCCAATCGTGAAACAGCTGTGTCGTCATCAGAGCTCGTGGATTCAGCCAATCATGGAACAGCTGTGTCGTCATCAGAGCTCGTGGATTCAGCCAATCGTGGAACAGCTGTGTCGTCATCAGCGCTCCTGGATTCAGCCAATCGTGGAACAGCTGTGTCGTCATCAGAGCTCGTGGATTCAGCCAATCATGGAACAGCTGTGTCGTCATCAGAGCTCGTGGATTCAGCCAATCGTGGAACAGTTGTGTCGTCATCAGAGCTCGTGGATTCGGCTAATCATGGAACAGCTGTGTCGTCATCAGAGCTCGTGGATTCGGCCAATCGTGGAACAGCTGTGTCGTCATCAGAGCTCGTGGATTCGGCCAATCGTGGAACAGTTGTGTCGTCATCAGAGCTCGTGGATTCGGCTAATCATGGAACAGTTGTGTTGTCATCAGAGCTCCTGGATTCGGCCAATCGTGAAACAGCTGTGTCGTCATCAGAGCTCGTGGATTCAGCCAATCGTGGAACAGCTGTGTCGTCATCAGAGCTCGTGGATTCAGCCAATCATGGAACAGCTGTGTCGTCATCAGAGCTCGTGGATTCGGCTAATCATGGAACAGCTGTGTCGTCATCAGAGCTCGTGGATTCAGCCAATCGTGGAACAGCTGTGTCGTCATCAGAGCTCGTGGATTCAGCCAATCGTGGAACAGCTGTGTCGTCATCAGCGCTCATGGATTCGGCCAATCGTGGAACAGCTGTGTCGTCATCAGAGCTCGTGGATTCAGCCAATCATGGAACAGCTGTGCCGTCATCAGAGCTCGTGGATTCGGCGAATCGTGGAACAGCTGTGTCGTCATCAGAGCTCGTGGATTCGGCCAATCGTGGAACAGCTGTGTCGTCATCAGAGCTCGTGGATTCGGCCAATCGTGGAACAGCTGTGTCGTCATCAGAGCTCGTGGATTCGGCCAATCGTGGAACAGCTGTGTCGTCATCAGAGCTCGTGTATTCGGCCAATCGTGGAACAGCTGTGTCGTCATCAGAGCTCGTGTATTCGGCCAATCGTGGAACAGCTGTGTCGTCATCAGAGCTCGTGGATTCGGCCAATCATGGAACAGCTGTGTCGTCATCAGAGCTCGTGGATTCGGCCAATCGTGGAACAGCTGTGTCGTCATCAGAGCTTGTGGATTCAGCCAATCGTGGAACAGCTGTGTCGTCATCAGAGCTCGTGGATTCGGCCAATCGTGGAACAGCTGTGTCGTCATCAGAGCTCGTGGATTCGGCCAATCATGGAACAGCTGTGTCGTCATCAGAGCTCGTGGATTCGGCCAATCATGGAACAGCTGTGCCGTCATCAGAGCTCGTGGATTCGGCCAATCATGGAACAGCTGTGTCGTCATCAGAGCTCGTGGATTCGGCCAATCGTGGAACAGCTGTGTCGTCATCAGCGCAAGTTCCGTCGTTACCAATAGAGTTCAATGGGATTTGCGACCATAGTTGGCTAACGATGCTTTCGGGAAACGCACCCCAGATTGACTTTTTATCTGTCATATATGTCTAAAGAAGCGCTTATTGAAAATGTACAGAGGTTTAGATATTGATGTTTTATTGTTTTGTTTGAGATCACCAACATGGTGATCAGCGTTTGCTTCAGTTGGGCTCTTGACCCTTCATTTGTTAACATTATATCTTCTCTGGCTGCTGTAACTGTGTTTGTAAGACACATTTATTTTCTATGGCATTTTAATGGAAAGTGGTTTGTTACTGTAAGAATTTGGCCATTTAAATTTTTTTACAGTAAGGTTTTACAGTGTTAGCCAATGAAAACATTGGAAATCTTTTCTTTGTACTTTAGTCAGTTAAATTAACAAATCATGGATTCTTGATTTTATTGCAATTTACAAAATGTCCCCAAAAAAATCTGATTTGGGGTTTTACTAAGCAACATCAAAGAAAGTTTTTTTTTTTTTTTTACAAGTACTTCTATATTTCTCAATTAACATTTAAAATGTTTTTCTGTTATTTATCAATATATATATATATATATATATATATATATATATATATATATATATATATGTATATAAATATATACGGTATATATGGGCTTCACTCACAAATTGTGATTTTTATCAGAGTCAGATTATAACATGCATCACATACTACTGAATATGTAAAAAAAAATGTAATATTTGACTGATTTATCGTTCCAAACCTTTAGGAAGAACTGTGGAAAGACTGGAGGGAAAAGATCAAAGGTCATCAGACTCTGAAGGATGAAGACTTTGACATCTATGTATGTTTCAACAGTAAAAAAATAAGACAATCATCTCATTTTCTACATTTTCATTTTCACAGTTTAACTTTCGATCATGTCTGAAATCTCTTCTCACTCAGGTTCTTGACATGGGATTTGGTAAAGTGGGTAATGAACCCATAGAAAATGTTCATTTTTACAGCAAGAATGAGCCAAACAAAGCCTTCAAGATGGAGAAGTACCAGGTACTAAAGCTCAAAATTTACTGAGCCATCATGATTATGTTGTGAATCTGATCTATTAATTGTCATGACTATTCATCTCTATAATATCTGTTAATTAAGGGACTATTCGGCTACCGGAGGAGTTTTGAGATCTATAGTCAAAATAGACTTGACCCTCCCTTCGGCAACGATACATTTTTCTATGACCCTCCAAAATGATTGTGAAAAAAGGCATGACCTTTCCCGATAATTTATTGATTACTTCTGTACTGGTTTGTGCTTGGCAAAGATGTTCAGATAGCCATTGTTTTTTTTACAACCATGACAAATGACTTAAAGCGTAACTCTTGCCAAAAAACAACCTAGGATCTTTTTGTGAATCTACCTGAGTCAAACTTTCGTTTAAAAACATAATTAGGATGGAAACGCCACTTTTAAGATTGACCGTATTTTCGTTTTCGGTCAAATTGCCTTTTGAATGGGAGTGCTAGGGGCACAACTATGATAGCATCAAAATCGCTATTTTTAAAACACTAAGAGGGCTCGACACAACATGAAAATTTGCTGTAAGTATCATCAGGGGCTCTACACATGAACTCGAGCATTGAGAACATTGTTCGTGTACACAGAGTTTACTAAAAAGAAAGGTTTTGAACAACTCACTGTAGCTGCTGTTGTTTCCGGCCGCCGGCATTTTGTCAGTCAAAAATAGTCGATCTCCGAATGCAACGTAACAGAGAGAAGAGTAAAGATGGAAAGCTTTTAAAGCTTAGTTCCATCAATTCACGGATAATTTGTTGTTTTGTCTTTAGTGAAAATCAATACTGACCTTGTATTTGAAAAGGATATGAAGGATATCCATATGGAGACAGTTCATTCCAGTGGCGTAAGTTTGTTTTAAAAAGTGGGTGGGACGTGTGAAAAAAAACAAAAACATTATGATGTCTAGAAATTCTATAGTAACGTTACATTGGGTTTAATTAGTCTTGTAATGAGATCTACTAATATTGTTAGTGTCAAGAATTTCCAAGTCAATAAATGCATAGATCTAAAATTTCCATTTGAATTCTTCAGTGGTCTAGGTAGATCTTTTGCCAAGCGTGTCAGAGGTTCAGGGTTCTAATCCGCAATTGTATATATATTTTTTCTCATCAAATCCGAATATGTTCATCAGTGGTTACAGTCTACATCAAGCAGGGACACGTTTGTGTGCATTTTGTGATCTCACCGGAACGAAGAGTGAGTCTCCGCAACGGCGATAGATTGAAGAGCGCATCCGAGTGAAGACTGCGTGCGAGCCACAAGAGAACTCTGTATCCATGACACTGATCACAGCGGCAACGAGCTCAGCTTGAGTTCAAAAACAACACATTTTAGCGCTGGATCGTCTCTTATTTTATAGCGAACTAAATTAATGCTCTGCTAGTTAACTGGAGATGTTTTATTTATTTGTATTAGGTACATCCGTGCCTCATAATGTTTCAAAAAGTGGTGGATGACAATATCAATCCTGAGAAGAAGTGGTGCTGACATGTCCCACCTGACCCATCTGCTAGCGATGGGGGCCGAGACTGAGAGAGCTACATGGAAAAATATGCACCAAACAAGCCACTTTGAAATTTAGCTGTTTTCATGAATACAAAAGTTGGGTGACCCTCGCCCTAGACTAAAAAAAATTGGATGACCCTCCCCTCAACAAAGAATAAAAAGACATGACCCTCCCCTATTTTCCTCCGGTGGCCCTTTCCATAAATACCGAACGGTCACTAAGTTGCTACTAGTTATACAGAAAACATTTGATGAAATGAAGGGATTTGAGCTCAGGCTTTCGGATTGCTCCAAATTCATCCCTGGGTAATTGAAAGATGTTCCTTGTTGGAGACAACATGATGTGTTTGGTTTATCTCACCCCTGCAGGTGTCCAGTCTCAAGCCAAAGATGTTTCATGAATGGCTTGTGAGGGTGTACTACAAAAACACTGATTATCAGAACATCCAGCAGAAAGCAGAGGAGTTCTTTCATGAGTGGTGCAAGAACAATGAGTTCATTGATTCAGGTAACTCAGCATTTATATGCATTTGTAGTCATGTGCTGTGTGTTGTCTTTGTGTCTACAATTTTTATTTTCTGCCTTTTTATTTAATTTCATATTTAGCAGATGTTTTTATCCACAGTGACTCATGCTGTGTCTTAACCAGGCATAATGTCATAAGCAATAAATCATAGAATCAATCCATAGAAGTTAAAGGTTTTTGTCCTAACTAGCCGAAACTGTCAAGAGCATCAAGTATCAACCAGATGTCACTGTGGCCTCATTAGAACCATCTTTGCTTTCCTTAAGACTTCAATCACATAATGCTACAACATTATGCTTATTTTTTTACTTGTGCCATTTTGGCCTATTTTCACATTATTCTCTATACATGATGATTGCTCATGGCACTAAACACCATCATAGAGCTCAAGAACTGAATTGGAAACCCATGTAGAATGATTAATTAATTATATCTACGTTGCACATTCTGCGGTTTTATATGGTAAGCATCAAGATTCCCGTCTGAAACTTGCAACTGGGACCGAATATCTGCACGGCATGACTGAAGCCCAGTTTGCTTAACTCAATGTTTATTGATGTCTTCTTGTTTTAACGTGAACCACTCCTATTGTGACGTCGATGATAAAATGTGTGACCCATTTAAATTCTATCAAGAAAGATGTTAAAGGTGCTCTGAACAAAGTTAATAATCATTAATTAGAAGACTTTTTAAAGTACTCAAACTACTACTACAATTCATCACGTTTCACTGTGGTAAACTTGTTGTACAATTCATAATAATTTGTTTTGGAAATGGATTTTTCACTGTTAAATTTGTATTCTGTGGCATGCTTTAGTCCTATTTTTTAAAATGTGTATGCTCAGGGCCGCATTAAGAGCTCACTGGGCCCCGGGGCTATGAGTTACTGCAGGGCCCCCCACCACTACAGGTCACCAACTACATGAGCTAAATGTTCTATCATTATACGAGTCATTTTATCCATCTATGATATACTTCACAGTTAAGTTATATTACTTTTAAAACGATTTTTTATCATATCAAAATTTAATGCCACTAACATTTCATAATTCTTGTGACTAATTTCAATATCACAAAAAATAATAGTAACTTAAGAAAAGAATCTCAAGCTTACCGATGACAAGAGTCACAAATAACAATAGAACAAAGGCACATAATAAATCGACCTTGAAAAACTTAAAGCACTGAATAATATTATATTGTATAAAGTAATCAAATATACAATACATAGTTTTCACTATAAATTCAACATTCATTCTTATTAATTTTTACAAAAGTGATTCATTCAAGGGCAGTAAATTACTTTCTTTCTGATGTTTGATTAACATTATGGACACAAATGGCGACAGCAGCTTTATTAGCAGCTACTGTCACTTTAAGACCTCAGAGTCGGAACTCAAGTGCGCTGTGCAAAACCATCTCAAGTTCACCATCATTTAAAATAATTTGTATCCAAAGTCAAACCACAATGATTAAAAACGCGTTTAATTTATAAACTTACATCATGATGTCTCAGCAAAATTTACATATTTCTACCGGATATATTATCGCCAGCCCTTTAGGCGAATATAGAGTTTGATCAAACACAAAAAGCAATATCAAACATCCATCAAGTTAATAATCAAACTTACCGAAAATTTGTGGGGTCGACGATGACGCTGTGTTTTAAAAAATAGTCTAGACTTTAGAGTGAAGGGTGGAGGCGATTTATTGGTTGATGCGTAGCTATATTCTAATAAGGCGCAGGCACTCCAGGCAGCCATCTATAGGCCTATGTACAGCAGCAGGTCGATCGTTCACAAGTTAAATATAGAATAAATGTATCATGTTAAATTAAAACGTGACGTTTCATTTCACCATGCCCTGTCCTGCTGACCACGGGGGTTTGATTGACAGGCGACATGGCCAATCATAACGCCGAATACGCAATTTTGTCCGACAACAAAACTGTCAGTAGATTAACGTCGGTGGACTTGAACTTGAAAACGGTATTGTTTAAATTATTTAAATTACAATATTTGAAAGTTGAGACTTTGTTTCATATCAACAGTAACTCTGAACTCTCTCTCGTAGTCAATTGTGTAACGTTAGTCTTTGCCCCGCGATGTATTTTTCACTGCGTGAGTGAGAACATGATGTGCGTGACTCGTGAGAGCCGCCTGGCTTGTCACACAGTAACTAAAAAAGGCGGGTCTTTGCGAACGGTCACTATAATATTAATGATAATGATTCCATGATAATGCATGGAATATTCGGCAAAGCGCTACTAAATAACAGGGCTAATTTGTGGGGGGCGTTGCGTGGTAAGGCTTTGGCAATCAGATGGCTAGTAGTATCTGCTCCACAGCCAATCAAGGGCCCCCTCCTTGTTCGGGCCCCGGGGCTTTAGCCCCGCCTAGCCCTATTGTTAATGCGGCCGTGTGTATGCTGCTATTTTTAAATAACACCTGCTAGGGTTATATATCTTGTGTTCAAGTCACAAAACAACCATGAGATTAGTGTTTATGATTTTATTTATGATAAGTGAAAGTATGGTAACTTATACTCTGAATTTGTCTTCTGCATTTAACCTATCTAAGTTAGTGCGCACACACATTGGGAGTAGTGAGTAGTGAACACACACACACACACACACACACACACACACACACACACACTGCAAACTGTAGAAAACACACACACCCGGAGCAGTCGGCAGCCATTTTAGTGCCCGGGGAGTTGTAGTAGTAATTTGTGTTTTACTCAAGGGCACCTCAGTCATTTCCTGCTGGTATTGAGAATTGATCCCGCAACCCTCGGGTTACCAGTCTGACTCTCTAAACATTAGGCCATGACTTTCCTTGTATAAGATAGATATACTGCTTTTTATAGGAAATGGAGAGGGGACTGTCGGAGAGCCATCACAAAACCATCAACCTTCCTCGGGCAAGGTAAAAATGAAAATGTCTCTACATTTTAAAGAAAAAAATCCCAGCAGAACAATAACCAATAAACTCTCAAGATCTCAGCAGAGGCAGGTTGACTAATATTTGTCCTTTTTGTATTTTGTAGATTTTCAACGACTCAATTTATGGTCAAATAGAGCTGGACCCTCTTCTGATGAAGGTCATTGACACTCCTCAGTTTCAGAGACTCCGACACCTCAAACAGCTGGGAGGAACCTATCTGGTGTATCCAGGCGCCACTCACACGCGCTTCGAACACTCACTTGGGTAAGGTCAAAGTAAAGTAAAAAAAAAAGGTTTAATGTAAAAACAGTTTATTGAAATTAATTCAAGCTTAAACCCTTTTACAGTGCCTTGCAAAATTAATTAGACCCCTTAAAAATTGGCTTGATAGATTATCAATAATACATACAAACATGTTCCCAAACTGTCACGGTCTGACTGTGTTTACTTTCATTTTCATGGACTTTTAGTTTGTTTCTCTTAGTTACCTGTTTCCTGTGTTGCTTTGTTCCCGCCAGTCATTAGCTGCCATAGATATTCATATAACGATCACACCTGTTAGTCTTTGAGTTCATTATCATTGTGTATTTAAGTTCTTCATTTCCTTCAGTTCTTAGCCCAGTATTGTCCGTGTGTTGCAAGTTGTTTAGTTGTTTTTTCTCTTGTGGAATTACATGGGTTTGTTTTGTTTAAGAAATACTATTGCTATTTGACTCTTTTGGCATCTTCTTTATCTTCCTTGGACTTCAACTTTACACAATACCGACCCATGGAAGAAATAGAGATCCCCTCCATTAATTTTGCCCCGATGGGGAATGGTCACAGATGTTTATTTTTCAAAAAGGAAAACGAAACCTAGATGATTATGTGGAGGAGTTTGTCAGCGTCAGCCTTCTCACCACCTGCAACAACCTGACACTCATGGAGGGGTTCAGGAGCGGACTGGATGATAAGATGCCTCGGTGGATTACATCAGTTTCTCCCTTACAGTCCTCTCTTACAGTGGGCGACGTGGAAGAGGATTCCCTTACCAGCGTCCAGCTCCACATAACATTCGTCAGCAGTCCAGAGCCAGACCCAGAGTCTAAGCCCATCCAAGAGCCCACCCCAGACAGAGAGACCCAGCTTATGCCCAGCACAGACTTCATGCCTGAGCCAATGTCTGCAATGGAGCCAGAGCCAGAGCCTTGTCCGTCCCTGTGGAAGAGTATGAGGTCCCGGTTGAACAGGTGTGGGAGCCGGCCATTACATCCGCACCAGTGGGAATAATTGTGGAGCTGAAAGAAGAAGAGTGGCTGATAGACTGGGAAACGGAGGTAGCGCTTTCCTCCCTGATCCCCACCTATGAACCTCTTCTTCCTCTAGAAGTCCCGTCCTGCCAAATGTTTGTTCATCACCGCTGGTCCCATCCAGCAGTTTTCTTCGTCGCCACTGATCCAGTTCAACACCAAACCTGTTTCCTCACCCAACACTTGTTATATGTTATGTATTTTTACACCCAGCCACCCTTTTCTGCCTGCTCCACCGAAGCCAGCCATTCCTTCGGCCCGTCTCCGGTGCCTCCCTTCAGCCTTTTGGCTTCTCTGTTGACACTGCCATGCAACTCAGACCTGACTTTCAGTCCCCAGCTCTACCTTGACGTGGGGATTCCCTGGCTCCACCTCATCCCTCCGAGTCCTCATCTCCACCTAGGCCCATAAACCAATCTTTTTTCGCCCTGCTCTTCGCTCCCTCAGCTCCACCTGGGACCATCGCCACAGACTTCCGGGGTCTTTGGCTGTGCCTCATCCCTCCAGCCCTATGGCTCCGTCAGGCTCCTCCTTCCTCCTCCTCCTCCTGGTCCATTAATGTCGCATGGTCTTTCAGTCCATCGGACTCCACATCTCCTGGCGTCAACGCTATCAGTTCGGCTCAAGCTTCCATCTTGGCTCCTCCCTCCATCAGCTCCATCATGGGTTACCTTTCTCCTGGCTGTCTTCAGGGTTGCTATAGACTCTCATTGGCTATCCGCTCCTCCATGGGTAATTTCCCTGTCAGCTCCTCTCTGGGTCAACCCCACCCTGGTTTCTTCTGCCGGCATCCCTGCCTGGTGTCTGCTCTGTGCCGGCCCCTTATCCACCTCCCTCCGTCAGACCCTCAGTCTTGGTGTGAGGACGCGCCTGCCCGGGGGAGGAGCTTGTTCTGTCAAATGTCAATGGTTGTTCAAATGTCAAATGCTGTTTCATTTGTTTCTCTCTTGTGGAATTACCTAGGTTTGTTTTGTTTAATAAATACTATTGCTATTGTACCCCTTTGGCATCTTCTTTAGCTTCATTGGACTTTAACGTTACACAAAGAAGATTTTTATTGCAATCTTGTTTTTTTTAAGCCAAAATTGGATATTTCTGAGTATGAAAAAAAAATTCTGCTTGCCAAATATTCATGTACCTCATATTAAAATTATTCAAGCTTTAGACTAAAATTATTTAAAACTATCCATTAGTGTTTGGGGTCTTTAGGGGTCAGTACAATTTGAACAGTGGCAGTACTATTCAACGACTTCACAACTAACTGGTAATTTTGCATCTAGAATTTGATGTACTAATAAATGAAAATCTGTTTTCTTTGTATTACTGTGTTCTATGTATTATTTGCATCATTTTGCTATTGATTATAATGTGCTTTTGCAGTTGTGCTATGTTTTAAAACTCCTTTTCTGTGACTCTGGTTTCTAAATATTAGTGGAGTTATCTGTAAAGGCGCTCGCAGTACGGATGGATGGCGTTTATGAATTAATGACCAGCCCATTTCTACCTCTCCATAGATCTAGAAACTGTCTGTTAAAACTCATTGCTAACAAATATTATCAATGTATTGATTACGTATGAAGAGATAAGATGCATATCTAAATGCAATTCATATTCATGAGCAATGTTTCTGAATGGCTGAAAAAGCAGCAGTCACAGGATTCACAAGGGTTCATGAAATATTATAAGCTCTTATGCTCTACTACATCACATCAGAAACATTCAGTCAAAATTGATTTAAATGAATTATATATTCTAAGAATCTTAACATCTTGTTATGAATAAACATGTTTCACTGTGTTCATCAAGAGCAACACAAATATATGCAAATGTCTTGAGCTACAAATTATAATCCTGCGCAAGGATGCAAAGACAGATGGCATGGTTGATTTACCCTGCATTTCTGAAAGGCAGTTTGTTTAAAATTATCTCTAATCTGTGCGTTGAAGGATGGCATATTTAGCAGGACGTATGATCGATGTTCTGAAAGAAAAACAGGATGATCTCGGCATTGATGAAAAAGACATCCTTTGTGTCAAAATTGCTGCTCTGTGCTACAATTTAGGTGAGTGCTGTCAACATACATGTGCACATCTGAGCAGAAAAGATATACTCTGTCTATATCTGTTTTAAAAATCGTCCAAATAATTTAATAAAAAATATTTACCATGCATTTCTTGACATGTTTTTATTTGCACAATTGCTGTTTATGATCCTATAGAGTATAAGAGAAAGTTTGAAAGTTAGACAAAATCACACCATATATGCTATATATCTATATTGTATTTTATTTCTGTAACAGTAAGATGGTTCACAAACAAACTCCTTTAAAAGTTTGATGTCACACACATTTTTACATGACACAAGATGTGATTAATATATTTAATCAAATGAAGATGGTATGAAATATGCTCTTAGGTAAAATATAACATGCATTGTTCAGTATAATTTGTTTTGTATCTTTAAGGCCATGGTCCATTCTCTCATCTGTATGAGCACTTCTACCGCGAAGCCCTAAAGCAGGGTAAGTGCCTGAGCTTCTCCTTCACTTATGCCAGTGCTTGTGGTCAGTTACACATAAATTATTAATAATGCTTGTTTTGGAGCTTTTGTACTATTATTTATTTATTTATTTACTCACTTACTATCAGTTATTGGACAAAGAGACAGATTGTAATGAAAGCAATGTCTAATGTCTGGTTTTCTTAGGCACAGTATATTGTTTTAATGTTTAAGTTTGTTTGATGTTTTTCAGAGGGTTACACAGGTGACACTGGTGGCTATGGAAAGCGCAAACAAAAGGATCAGTCAAAGACAGGAAAAGGTCAATAAAGAGAGAGTGTGTGTGTTCGAGAAAACAGCATTTTTTCAATTCATGAATGAGTTGGTTTTTGTGGGATCATGCATAAAATATACATCATATACAATAACTCCTGTTTGTTCTCTTTGTCAGGGTTATATTGGAAGGTAAGCTCCAAAATTCTCTTGTACAAATATACATGTTTTATACAATATATTACACAATACAATTATACAAATATACATGGATCTCAGCCAATACAGAGACTCACGGCCAATACAGAGACTCACTACTGCATCAAATATCAAGATTGAACTTCTCAATGCACAATCCATCACAAACAAATCTTGCCTCATACATGACCATATATTGGTTTAGTGTTTGGATATGATGTGCCTTACAGAAACCTGGCATCAACCAGATGTTTATTCTTTTTTAAATGAGACCTGTCCTCCTGGCTACTGCTACTTACAGAAAGCCCGCAGCACAGGCCGTGGTGGTGGTCTGGCTGTCATCCACCGAAGTTATCTGATCTTGTCTCCTATAACCAGTGGTTAAATTGGCTTTTATAGGGAGGGGGAGCCCTTATTTACGGTGAATGGTCATCATTCAAAATCGCGCCGTAAAATGACTTAATGTGTTTTTACACCAAAGAGGCTCTTTTTCCAGTATTGATGTGTAAGGTAGGGTTGAGTACATATTTAAACAAAGAGAAATACTTTACAATTCACTTTTTGTTTTACCTTTAATGTTAACAGACAGCAACGGATTTCACCCTCGGGAAATGTATGAAATTGAACATGTTTGAAAATATTGGTTGGCAAATATCTTTTAAAACAAGAAAAAATGTTGATTGAAAAGAATCAGGGCCAATTTGTTTGGCAGTTTGTTGTTTGATTTAATCACACCGACACGCAGGGCCGTACGTGTATTTTTATAAATAAAAGTTCCAAAAAATTATCCTGCTAGGGGGGTTTGGGGGCACGCCCCCCCCCCCCCCCCCCCACCCCCACCCCCACCCCCACCCCCACCCCCACCCCCCACCCCCCCAAAATAAAATTTTGGTTTTCGTGATCTCAACATGTCCATTTTAAGGTGTTTTGAAGGCCAAAAAAATGGACAACAGTAGCTTTAAAAGCACGTCAGTGGTCAGCATTAAGTAGGCCTATTTTATCAGATAACAGATTCTTTAACATGAGAATCAGTTTAAATGTTGCAATGAGTGATCCACACTATAAAATGGAAATGCAGAATGTTTATGCATATTGTTGACAATACACAATCACATATTCGAAACGGGAATGTCCTTAAATAAGAAATGATTCAAGGATTATTTTGTAGATGTTACATTTCAAACAAACGCCAATGCAATCATTCTGTGCCCAGAGGCATATGAGCAATTAGTATGAGCATCAAAGATCAGTTTCAGCTACTTTTTCTTTCCTAAATTAATCAATATTTTTGGACTAGCTAATCTAGTGTTCATTTAATCAATGGTTCAATTGTTCACTCATAAAGACAGTCACTTGTCGCCGCCTTCTGGCTTAATGATGCAAACACAAACAAGCGGAGTGATACAAACAGTGAAAAGTCGAACACATTCGAGGTAACGTTATACAAATATATTACAATAATAATGGCAATATATTTAATAGGGTGCTTGTGTTGTTAAAGGGGAAATGAAGCAGTCAGTCAAGTTTACATAATTTACAAGATGGATTACCACTATAATCAAAAATTATATAAGAAACATGACAAATGTTAACATATAAAAGAAAAAAAGAAACACCAAGCTTATAGTATCCACTGTCTTTGATCAAACTGAGTATTTCTGTCGATCATTTAAACTTATATCGACAAACAGCTGTTTAGATTAGCTACTTGCATCTTATCTCGCACGGTATGCCCGTTAACTGAAGTGTGAAGCGTCGCGTTGGGATTCGCGCTCGGCTTGCGCTTCTGTGAACATAAATCCCACTTGCTTTGATTGGACTCAAACATTTTGACATTGACGAGCGGGTGAGTGCTCAGCTCAGACGAGAAGGTCAGTTATCGTTGCGATGGGCGAATCATTGCAGCACCAAATTCGAGTTAATATTAGCCAATTATTTCATAACTTTCATTATATACACTCAACAAATTTTATATATTTGGTGCTGAAGGAGACGGAGCTGAGCTCCGGCAGGGTGTGTTGTGGACCCGAGGAGGCGGAGCTGCGCTCCGGTGCGCTCCACCCCAATTTAACCTATGCCTATAACCCTGCCTGAGCTGTCTTCGTTTCAATACCTTGCATTTAAATGTAAGCACCCTCTCTCCACGACGATACTTATTATCTACCGGCCACCCAAACCAAACTCATCTTTCATCCCAGAGATAGCCAATATTCTTTCAACCTTCTGTACAATGTCTGCCAATATCATTGTACTTGGAGATATGAATATCCATGTTAACTCCTCCACCTGCCGTTTCGCAGCAGAATTCCTCCAATTACTTGACTGTTTTAATCTGACACAACTTGTCGATGCCCCCACTCATACCAGGGGCCATACTCTCGACCTAGTCATTACAAACTCCGTTTATCTCAGCAATCCTTTGGTGTATGATCTGGGAGTTTCCGACCATAAGGTCATCTCCATAAAAATGTCTTCACCGTATAAGCCCAAACGCCAAATCTGCTTCAGAAACCTGAAAAACATCAACCTGGAGACTATGGCATCCGACCTTCAGCATCTCCTCTGTGTAAACTGTTCACCACCCATGGACTTAGTGGACTATTACAATAACACCCTCAGAAGCATTATGGATCTCCATGCCCCGGTCAAAACCAGAACGGTCACTTTCTCCCGATCAGCCCCCTGGTACACTGATGAGTTACGGAAAATGAAGGCAGCTGGCCGAGCCATTGAGAGGAGATACAAAGTCACATGTCTCTCTGTGCACAAGCTCGCTTTTCGGGAACACCAAAAGGTCTACTCAAAGTCACTTACAAAGGCACGGTCACATTTCTACTCAAACGTCATCAAGAATAGTCCCGGAAATTCCAAACAGCTTTTCTCAACCATAAATCCTCTGCTCAAACCACAAACCCCCTCACTTATAGAAACTACAGAAGAGCACTGTAATCATTTTCTGGACTTTTTCAAAACAAAAATAGACTCAATTCATTCTACCTTTCCTGGATCCTCACCACTATCCACCCAGACTTTTCCCTCACAGCTTGCAATCTCCGAGCCCCTACACTGCTTCCCAGAAATCACACAGTAAGAGGTTGAGAAGATAATCAAAAGGATGAAACCTACCACCTGTGCCCTCGACTCTTTTCCTACATCTCTAGTGAAAGTAAACATATCTGTCCTAAGCCCTCGGATCACCACTGTGATAAACGACTCCCTCCAGTCCGGCAAAGTTCCATCTGCCCTAAAAACTGCCACGATCAGACCACTTCTCAAAAAACCAGTTGTATTTGCAAACTACAGGCCCATTTCCAATCTCCCATTCCTCTCCAAAGTACTGGAAAAGGCTGTTGCCGCCCATCTACAGGAACATCTCAAACACAACAATCTTTTCGAAAAATTCCAGTCTGGTTTCCGCCATGCCTACAGCACGGAAACAGCCCTGGTTAGAGTCACAAACGACCTACGAATGACAGCTGATGCTGGTTCACCATCCCTCCTCATATTACTCGATCTGCCTGCTGCTTTCGACACAGTGGATCATGGCATACTCCTAAATCGTCTACACCAAACCACTGGAATCACTGACACTGCTCTTAACTGGTTTAAATCATACCTCACTAACAGAACAGAGTACATTTTTACTTGGAAGTGCAAGGTCCCGGCAACACACAGCCACCTGTGGGGTCCCCCAGGGGTCAGTTCTTGGCCCCATCCTCTTCATCACTTACATCATCCCTCTCGGCCATGTCATTAGCCTCTATGGAGTCTCATTTCACTGCTATGCTGATGACACACAACTGTACTTGAAAACGGAAACAAACACCACTGCAATTTCACCAACATCACTTCCGTCTGCAACACTCACCGCCTGTTTGGAGGAGATAAAGGTGTGGATGAAACACAACTTCCTCCAGTTAAACAGCTCCAAAACAGGGGCAATTCTTGTTGGCACCCCACATCAAACCCAGTCTTCCCCCATAACTGGCATAACTATCACTGGTCATGACATTCCCCTCTCCACAACTGTCACCAATCTTGGTGTAAGATTGGACCCACAACTCACATTCGAAGCCCATATCAAAAACGTCTGCAAGATTTCCTTCTACCATCGAAATATTGCAAAACTATGTTCTACACTCACCTTGGCAGATGCTGAAAAACTTGTCCACGCCTTTGTCTCCTCCAGACTGGATTACTGTAATGCACTTCTCGTCGGGATCCCTAACAAAAGCCTGCAGAGACTGCAGTATGTTTAGAATAGTGCTGCAAGGATCCTGTTGAGAGTGCGAAAACACGACCACACCACAAATACGATTGAATATAAGGTCTCCCTTCTTACCCACCAGTGGATCTATGGAAACGTAGAGCGGTGGATCTATGGAAACGCCCCCACTTTTGAAAGTCCAGTTCAAATCCCCGGATGTGTTCTTGATCCGCCCCGTCTACCGAGGATTCATCGAGAAGTGACTTGTGCGGACTTAAGACAGCCAGGTATCCCAGAATGCATCTCACACCAACCAGCAAGCGTCAATAGCAGAGGAGAAAAACTCTGTCATTTAAAATTACTGCTGATATTGTGTCACGAAATGTAGTTTTAAGAGTTTTTCAGGCAAGAATGTAGTTGTTTAAAGCTCAACTCTGTGGTTTATTTATAAAGATAGCGCCTATTTGAAAATGTGATCTGCCGTTTCCGGAGTTGTGAGATCCAGGCGATCACCGCTCATTAACCCCGCCGAGAACAGCCTTACCTCGGCTAGTGCTTCTGATGTTTGCCGCTGACTCCAATGTTTTATAGCTTTATATATTTAGGTTATTTCACGAGTTCACACTTACATCAATTAAACAGAGTAAAGATTATGCGTATTTGGCGTGCTGTCCGGGGGGAGGGCTCCGAGCTCGGAATTTTGCCCGAACCCAGAGTACTCCCCCCGTTGTTGTAAGAGTATTAGGACTATAAGTGAGGAGATGGGGTGGTGGAGGGATGCTGTTAA